TTGAACATGGGCCCTTTACCTGCAGCCCTAGGCTTCTGTCCATTGTACCCCACAGCTGGCAGCCATCGCCCCGCTCCCAGCCACCACCACTCCCTATTCCCATTCTCTCTCTGCCAGTCCGGGTCGCATCTGCTCTGTGACCGGCTTCTCTGGGCACAAGAATGGCTTAGAGGACAGTGCCTCCCAAAGGCTGGTCATGGGGATCACGGCTCTAGAACCAGCTGGGACCTCAGAGGTCATCTGGGGGAAACTGAGGCTTGTGACAGGGAAGAGACTCTCCCAAGGTCGCCAGGTCCTTGGTGGCAGCGAGTGAGTCTGTGTTCAATGATCTACATCCAGCAGGCAGTGACGGGGAAACCCCACGAGGAGGGGGAGCTGGGCAGACCTGCCTGGCCCTCCTGGGCACCCCCTGCCCCCGCCAGGACACTCTGCTTCTGTCTCTGAAAATCCCGCCACGCTCCGTCCTTAGAGGCCGAGGGCGCAGGCCCTCTCTCTGCATTAAAGCATCTCTCTCCACCTCTCTGTCTCTTACATAAACACACACGTACAGAGCAGAAGGACTAGTAATAAACACACAAAGCAGAGACAGACAGCTGACCCCCGCACCCCCCCCATGCCACCCCCACAGGAGGCCCAGGAAGCACAAAGCCAGACTGGGCTCCCTGCCAGGAGCCTTCCTCTTAGGCCCCCAGCTCCTGGGCAGCTGGAGCAGGGGAGGGCTCAGTGGGGAGCTGAGAATGTCCCTGGTGATCAGGAGAAACGGGCCCTGTGCCCCCTGCTCCCCCCACTCTGGCTGGATGACTGCATCACATCACCCCTCCAGGCCTCAGCCTTCTCGCTTAGGAGAGAAGAGGGTCAGACCAGAGGATGGTACCCAAGGCCCAGGAAAGTCGAGCCCTCCTCTCTGACTGCCCCCAGCTGTCCTCCTATCCTATCCTATGAGGCAGGGTCTGTGCCTCATACACCCGAGCCCTCCCCACCCAGCCAAGCAGGAGGCTCAATAAACCCTGGGTGGGGGGTAGGGGGGGTCACTGGTGACAGCTGAGATTCCGACCCACACGCCCTGCTTGCCTCGGCATCGGGGGGAATCCCAGTATGAGACCTGCGGTGGGTGGGGGCTGGGCTGGAAATCCAATCCCACCCCAGACACCTCCTGGCTGTGTGGCCACGGGCAGGTCTCTCTAAGTGTCTCTAACCTGTGCCCTGACTCTGCAGGCCCCGCAGGCTTGCTGATGTGGTGATATTTGCTGAGGCCTCAGCAGCCTTGACACCCTGGCAGTGTGTCACCATTAATGGGAGTGTGGCAGAGAGGTCTTGGAGTCAGGCTGAGCCCACTGCTCCTGAGGGGGTACTTGGGCAGATGAGGGATTGAGGGGGCCTCACACTTACGGGGGGAGGCAGGCTTTCCAAGGCCTCCACCTGGGGGCCACATTTGGCATTCCCAAAGAGGCGGCCAGGGGAGGCAGCCTGCGGGACCCAGGCCAGGAGGCCCCACCATGGGGGGCAGAAGCCCCACTGCCTTGTTTCCCAAGCTCTGGCCCTGGAGTGGAAAGAGGCAGAGGCCGGGAAGGAGGGTGAGGGTGAGGGAGAGAGAAATAGGGAGTCCTGAGGACAAAGCCGAGTGCCCTGGGGATTCTGCCCAGCCCCAGTATGCAGGAAAAGGGTCAATCTTCAGACCCTTGACCTCAGCCAGGCACTAACCAAGAGGCATTTTGCCTTAGGGAGTCTTTAAAGGTGCAGAGCTGGTGATTAGCCACCAAGTAGGAGGGAGGCTCATGCTGCCCACCCAGGGAGTGGGAGAGAAGAGGAGGGGGCTCAATGAGAGGGAGGGTTGGGGGGGCTCAGGGGGCTTAGAGAGAGGGGGGCTCAGGGAGGTGGCTCAGAGAGAGGGAGGGTTGGGGGGCTCAGAGAGGGGGGCTCAGGTAAGGAGGCAGCTCAGGGGGTGCTCAGGGGGGGCACAGGTAAAGAGGCAGCTCAGAGAGGGGGGCTCACGGGGGGCTCAGAGAGAGGGGGCTCAGGGAGGGGGGCTCACAGGAGAGGCTCAGAGTGGGGGGCTCAGGGAGGGTGCTAAGGAAGAGGGAGCCATGAAGGCATGCAGGCCTGCCAGCCTCTGAGTGGCCCCAGCCTGTATTCTTCCTCCAGATCATCCAGCATCCTGCTCCTCACACTCACATCTATCTGCCTAAAGCACAGCTTTTATCATGTTCCTCCCTGCTCAGAAGTTTTCTGTCTCCTCAGGACCAAACTCATCAGATGCCTTTCAAGCCTCCACAATGGAGCCTGATCCCCTCTGCTCCAGCTGGGTCTCTGACCCCTCTCACCCCAAGGCTTCCTCAGCTGCTGAGAGAGGGAGAGAGAGAGAAAAGAGGAGAGGACAGAAGGAGGGAGGAGAGAGAAGAAGAGAGAGAGGAGGGGGAAGAGACAGAGGGGGAAGAGACGGAGGGGGGAGAGACAGAGGAGGGATGGAGAGAGAAGAGAGAGATAGGAGAGAGAGAAAAAAGAGAGGCAGAGAAAGAGGGGAGAGAAGGAGACAGAGAAAGAAAGATAAAGACAGAGACAGAGAGAAGAGAGAGAGAAAAGAGAGAGGGAGAGGGAGAGAGAGGGAAGAGACAGAGGAGAGATGGAGAGAGAAGAGAGAGATAGGAGACAGAGAAAAAAGAGGGAGAGAAAGAGAGGAGAAGAGAGGAGACAGAGACAGAGAAAGAAGGGTAAAGACAGAGACAGAGAGAAGAGAGAGACTGCCACGCACTCTGGGTCCCCTCTTCTTTCTTCTCTGCGGGTCTTTTCTCCACAGCCGAGGTCATCGGTCTCTGTCAGTCACGGTAGCCCCGGGGACTCACAAGGCAAGTTTGCCCCTGGGCTTGGGCTGACCCTCACTCTGCCTCCAGGCCCCTCCAGCCTGCTGGGACCAGCCAGGACTTTTACCCCTGCAGCCTTTGAGAGCCAGAGGCCTCTGCATTGGAAAAAGGTAGAGAGGTGAGCACCAGAGGCTTCTGGCGCATGGCCTGACCTTTGGGAAGCAGCTGCGATGCCCCACTTCTCTTATCCTCTGGGGTTTTCAAGCTTTTTCAGTTTTGCTTCTATTTCTTTTGCAATTAAAAACCAAGCTTACATGTACAAACCCCAAGGCCATTTTCTCCGTGTCTTCTGAGCATTCACGTCCTGTGCTCAAATTTCTCCCCAATGCACAGACTTTATTTTGCAATTTTTCATCAAGTTTTGTCAGCTAGTCAGCAAGCATCATTAAGAGCTTACTGTGCATCCACATTCTGGCACATTCTTTTTAGTAAAAACCCTTTTTAAATGGCATTGATAAATTACCCACTCCCCTTTCCACGAGCCTCTTTCTCACACCAGTCTCATTCAATCCAATATGCGTTTATTTGGCACCTGTTGCATGCCAAGCATTTTGCTGGGTGCTGGAGCTCGCCAACACACACAGATCAGGAAAGGCAAAGTTATCATTCTGGGATATAGGGGAGGTGGGGTGAATTGGAACCAGTTCAGATATTCGAAAAAAGTCCTAAATACAAGTAGTTCCTGGGAGGGGAAGGAGGCAGCAGCGGCTGAGGCCCAGAAGCCACCTCTCCCCAGCCCCTTGTCATCTCCCTGATGGCCCCTCTTAGGCTCCATCAGTGGGGGGGGCCAAAGGGGCCGGGGGCTGCCTTATTCCCATCTGCCCCCTCAGGAGATCCTTGGGATGTGCAGCCTACCTTTCTTGGAGTTCTTCAGGTTCTCCTGGATGAACTCTATGGCCCTGGACACCTCAGCACATTTGCAGACATCTATCTGGATGCTTTTCATTCAGCTATGATTCATAGCATCCAGCTCTTCAGCCCCTGCATCTCGCTTATCCTAGGCACACACACCAGAAGCCCTGTGTTAGATATTTGAAAACCTGGCTAAAAACCTGGCCAGCAAAAACCTGGCTGAAAAGCACAGTGGACAGGAATTCCCAGAAGCATCCTGGGGTTCAAAAGGGGAAGGCTTCCCTGAGGACAATTCCCCAGTTTCAGTCAGGTCCTCACCACACTTGGGAGCTGGCAGAGAGCTCAGGGACCGCTGGAATTTCCACCACAATGCCCCAGCCTCTTTCAGGATGCCTCCCCCCCCCGGGAGGGGGACACTAAAGACTGGTTCCCAAGAATGCCTCAGTTTCTTTATTTGTAAAATAGGCCCCTTCCAGCTCCAAAGGGTGATGGTGAGACAACAAAACCCTCAACTCTTCTTTGGTTCTGTGTTCCCTTCCAAGAAAAATCTGCCCTGGAAAGGACAGGCCAACATGGCTTAGCCTGAGTGTAAACCCAGTCAATGTTAGGAGATGGTGAGTCAGTCTCGGGCCACCAGGCTGGCTGTCCCTCTCCTGCAGGATTCAGAGAAGAGGGGCCTTCCAACCCAAAGACCTAGAGAAGCCAGGAGGCTCCAGGGACTTGGAGGAGGGCCAAGGTTGTACTGATTTCTTTAAAAAGAGGAGAGGGTCCAAAGCACCGACATGTGCCCTTGACCAATGCCCAGAAGAATTCTTGAAAACGTCATGACAGGGTTGGTTTGTGACCCCTCAGTGATCCCAAGAGCCAGCCAGGCTCCTCAAGAAGTCAGGTCAGGGGGCAGCTAGGTGGTGCAGTGGATAAAGCACCGGCCCTGAAGTCAGGAGGACCTGAGTTCAAATCCAGCCTCAGACCAAACACTTGACACTTACTAGCTGTGTGACCCTGGGCAAATCACTTAACCCCAATCGCCTAAAAAAAAAAAAAGTCAGGTCAGACTCACTTGAGATGGGAGAAAAGAAAGATGGTCCTCAGAGATCAGCAAAGCATCTTTCAAAGTCTCCCCTCCCGTGACGCGGAAAACACGGAGAGATGTGGGCGAAATAGTGCAGTCATCATGAGTGTATCTGGTACGTTGGGGGAGAGGTCTCCAAGGCAGGGCCCCAGAGCTCTGCGCTTGGCCCCATTCTGTGTAAGGTTGATCAAGGGCAGCGCTGGTGTGCTTGGCAGATTTCCAGACAACGTGGAGCTGGGAGGGCAAACACACCAGGGACGGGACCCGGAAAGACCTTGAGCAGCTGGCACATGAGCATTATGGGGAAGTCAATTACTTTGGTAGCTTTAAAGGCAGTTGTTCTGACTCTGTCCAGAGAGTAGGGGAAGCAGCCGCTGGTCCCAGGGCCCACGTGGCAGATGAAGAGGAGAGGTGTGAGGAAAGAGACCTTCTGGAGAGCCTGGACCATCTCCTGGGCTCAGAGAACAGGCAGGGTGCACAAGAGGCGGGCAGACAAGCAGCTATGGATAACGTGGATGGGTGGGGAGCGGAGCCCCTCACCGGCCCCTCTGCGTTTGGCATCCTGTGGCTCCCCGGGGAACATTCAGGCAAAGGGCCCAGGCTTCAGGGATCGGGGACCACCAAGAACCCAGGGACTTCAGGGTGTGGGACCAGGAGTAGCGTTCCTGTCCCAGAGCCCCCCAGAGCTAGCAGGGGCAGGGTAGGAAAGGGCCAGGAGAAGGCGAGAAGATGAGAGAAGACCTCCTTCCAGGGGATGGACTCTGACCGGGGCACTCCCTGCCCGGGACCTCAGCCACGGCAGCCAGAGCAGAGACCCCAAAGGAGAATGAGGAGGGGTCAAAGGGGAGACACAGAACCCCAGCAGAGGCTTGGGCCCACACGCATGGGGCCGCAGTCAATCAGCTTCAGGCTGAGTCTCCCGGCACCGATGGGAGTGGTCCTTCCCTTCAAATAGCCTGGTTCACAAGCTCCCAGCTCCTCTAGTGAAATCCACTGGTGCCCCAGACCCCTGCTAGGGGGTGTACATGTGTAATGGGGGAGGGCATGCGTCTGTGGAAGCCTGGGGCTATGAGAATGTGGGCTTCCGTGTATTTGCAAATGTCTGTGGGAAGACCATGGGATTTGGAGTCACAGAACCCAAGTTTGATTACTGGCTGCAGGCTAGGACTTTTCCTCAGTTTCCTCATTGGTAAAATAGGGGATTTGGCCCCCTGAGGGCCCTTCCAGCTCAGAGGATCCCAGGACCACAATGGCGGACCAAGGTGGGGCCACGATAGCAGAGACTCAGAGTGAGCGCTTGTGTGCCCAGGGCAGGCTTTGCCAGCAGCATCAAAGAAGCCTGGATATCGGAGGCCCTCTAGCTCCCCTTCCTGACCGCTTGGCTGGCAGCCCACCCAGCCTGGGAGAGCCTGGCAACATGGAGCCGAGATGGGGAGGGGCCAGGAAAGGTGGGGAGTGCACACCCCACAGGACCTGTCAGGTGGCCCTTCCCTACCTTGAGAAAGCAGCCGGCAAATACCTGGAAGCCGTGGGAGTGCAGCTGTTTGGCAATGGAGAGGCCAAAGCCCGAGTCACAGCCAGTGACTAACACAGCCTTACTGCTGAGCTGTGAGGGAGGATTAAGCACATAACTCAGGGGAGGCCTGTTAATGAACCTGCTCTGGAACCCTGGCATCCCAAAGGGCAGAGAGGGCTAGGGAAAGGAACTCCAGGGACACGGCCAACTCTGCAGGAAACTAAGAGCAACCAGCACCGATGGGGGCTCAGATCTCCAAGAGAAAAGAGAGTGAGCCTGGGCCTGCAGAGGCTGGGAGGGCTGAACATCATCCCCGGGGCACTGACTCCAGCACTGGCCAGCTTCGCAGCCAGTGTACACAGTAGCTACTTAATAAATGCTTATCGGGCCTGAGAGGAGCCCGTGACAAGATGGCAGCTTATACGTATGGGGTTCTCTTGCTAGCCATGCTCCCTCCTCAGCCCCTGGTTTCAGCAGGAAGTCACAGGCTCTTCATTAGTGTTTAGGAAGTGGTTCCACCTCCTCAACAGCCCCCTCCCCAAGGAACCTTGGGACATCACCACCTAAACCGAGGCCCTGACACCAGTCTCATCACCAAGGCTGAGAATCCCCCTGCCTGACTGAAGGCCTGGCATTGGTGGGCCCCATCTTCTCAGAAACAGCGTGGCTGGGGGCTCTGCTCACTTCTTGTTTTGGGGTCCCATAGGCCTTTGGGCCAGCCAGGATGGAGTGTGGACTGGAGAGCTTTTGGCTAGGCCTGCAAGGAAAGATGTAGCAGTGAAGGGGGAGAGGGCAGGGACACTTAGGATATTGGACAGCTCAGTGGGAAGCTGGCTCGGGCCTCTCCCTTAGCCCCACGTGACCTGCCCGTGGCCTGAGGCTGTGGAAGCCAGAGCCAAGAGGGCAGGCAGACGGTTACAGACAGCAGACCCAAAGCCGAGGGCCCAGGGCAGGCTGTCCTGGAGGGCACTCCAGGCAGGTCTTGCTGACGAAGCCCGCCCTGGCCGATGACCCTGCAGGTCCTGGAGCTGACCTTGAGCTGCATCAGATGTGACGACCCCAAAAGCTGGAGTCTTCTCTCCTCTGACCTAATTATCTCCAGGCCCCCCAGCCAGCCCCAGGAGGACCCAAGGTGCTCCCCTACCTCCTCTGGGCTCTCTCCAACTCGTCCTTCCCTGGACTGAGCACAACGCTCCACGCGGGTTCTGCCCAGGGCAGAGGACGGAGAATAGTCACCTTCCTCATCCTGGGATTCTCTTAATGCAGCCTCAGCTGACGTGGCTAACTCTTGCCAAGCTCAGAGTCCACACCAGGGCCCAGATTTTTGTCACATTGGCTGCTGTCTGGCCATTCTGCACACCCCCGATTGTACATACAGGACCCCTTTTAAGAGGCAGCTGATTGGGGTTAGAGGCTGGGGACCTGGCTTCTAATCCTACCTCTGCATTTAAGAGCGCTGACATTAGAAAGACCTGAATTCAAATCCAGCCTCAGACAGCCCTTTACTGTCTTTGTGACCTTAGCTTATTAGCTGTTTGACCTTAGGCAAGACTCTTAACCTCTGCCTGCCTCAGTTCCATCAACTGTTAAATGGGGATAATAATAGCCTCTCCCTCGAAGGGTTGGTACGCTATATAAATTATAAGGGGAAACTGAGGTTCAGAGAAGGGAAGGGTGGAGATGGGCCACACAGTGTCCCTGGCTCCTCTACCTTCATGTCTTGATATCTGAGGTTCCAGAAATCTCTATGCCTCCATATTGCTGCGTACTTGGATGGAACAGCCCCAGGATATTGCCATACCTCCAGCATGCCCCTGGATGGGGGCCAAGTCAGGCCATTCCCCAGTGACCCTTGGGCCTAGCCAGGCACTGGAGGGGCCTCTGTGCCAGAGGCATAAACAACAACTAAACTGCGCGGTCCTGGGGCAAAGCCCTGCTCACCCACCCCAGTTACCTTTCTGGTAAAACTTCAACAAACTTGTCCTCCTCCCCACTTTCTTACCTTTTGATGTTCTGAATGTTTTGGAAACCAAAGGGACTCTTGGCAAGCCTTACCAGAGAGCTGGAGAATTGGGCAGCCAGCATTGCTCCAAGAAGTTCACGGGAAGCTAAACCTTAAGCTTCTTCTATCAGACCTGGAACAGAGAATGGAGGGCATTGGCACCAGCTGTGGGATCCCACAAGCCCTCGGGGCATTAGGCTGGGCCATCAAAATCATTTCCCAACAGGCCTGGAAACAAAGAATGATGAGCAGGCAAAATCAGTCAGTCAGTCAACAAATCAACATTTATGAAGCACTTACTGTGTGCCAGGCACAGTACCAAGCACTGTGGATGCGAAGAAGAGCAAACCCAGCCCCTGGCTTCAGGGAGCTCCCATTCTAACGGGGGAGACAACATGCAAACAATTGTGTCCACACAAGATGTATACAGGGTTAGATGGGAGGGAAGAAGGCTCCCCCAGCCGTGGGGGGAGGTGGTGGGGGAGGACAAGCAGGAAAGGCTTCCTGCAGAACCTTGAAGCCCATGACCCACAAAGCCAGCTCAGCTGCTTGGTCGCCGTCCCACCCCAGAGGTCCCCACCTCTACGGGGCCTGGGGGCTCCTTTCCGGAGATCTTCTCCTGCTTTGACCTCCCTGATGCAGCAGCACCTCAGAAGAGGTGGAGCCACCCCACCTTCCTCCAGCTTCCTCAGACTTTGTGTCTCTCCCTTGGGCCACCTGGATCTCATCACTGGTCATCTTCTTCTGACTCATTGGTACTGATGCCTTGGTTTTTCCGTCACCCTCACTTCCGAAGCTCCCTCCCCCTTTCCCTCACCCAATGAGCCTTCTTGGAGCAAGAATCCAAAAGACAGGAGCCAAGCCATCTGCCACGTCTAACAGTACAGGTAGCGCTCCACGCCCACAGGCCCCTGCCTCTGTGGGGAGGGGATGGGGAAGTATTTTCTGGACTCTCCTTTGGGACCGTTTTGGTCAGTGTCGTGGTGGTGCTTTTAACTGTTGAAGAGTTTTCCTTTGGTTTGCCTTTCTCTATATCCCCAGCACTTAGCACAGAGCCTGGTATATAGTAGGTGCTTAATAAATGCCCCTTGACTTGGCTTGTGCTCATGTTGCAGATTCTGTTTTCTAGGTCATCCTTACTCCACTCTGCATCAGTTCATGTAGATCTTCCCAGGTTTCTCTGTATTTCCCATATTTGTCATTTCTTAGGGCACAGTAAATATTCCATCACATTCCCATGCTGCAACTTGGTTAGCCATCCCCCCATTAGTGGGCAGCTCTTTTCTTCCCAATTCTAAGTCACTACCAAAAGGTAGTGCAGCCATAAGTATTTGGGGGCCTATAGGGCTCTCTTTTTATCACTGATTTCCTTGGCATACGCATGCCTCACTGTGGAATCTTTGGATCAAAAAGGGTATAGATGTTTTCATCAGGAATAATTGCCTGTTGCTTTCCAAAATGGTTGGGCCACTCTCACAGTGTTTTGTAGAAGGACAATGTGTGCTCAGGATCTTTCACTTTCTTTCTTTCTTTCTTTCTTTCTTTCCTTCCTTCCTTCCTTCCTTCCTTCCTTCCTTCCTTCCTTCCTTCCTTCCTTCCTTCCTTCCTTCCTTCCTTTCCTTCCTCTCTCTCTCTCTCTCTCTCTCTCTCTCTCTCTCTCTCTCTCTCTCTCTCTCTCTCTCTCTCTCTCTTTCTTTCTTTCTTGGCAGTGGGGTTAAGTGACTTGCCCAGGGTCACACAGCTAGTAAGTATCGTGTGTCTGAGGCCGGATCTGAACTCAGGTCCTCTCCAGGTCTGGCACTCTATCGCTGCCTAGCTGCCCCCAAGATCTTTCACTTTCATAAATTACCAGGGTCACCTCCTGAGCCCAGAACTTGGTAGGCAAGGAGAGCTGTGGTTCAGGGAAATCTGGTGGCTTCCTTTCATACCCTCACTCTGGTCTTGGAACTCTCCCTATTGTTCTTGGGTATCCCAGGCACTTGGGGAGAACATGGGAGCCCTGAAAGCAAGGGCAGAGAAGGTCCTAGTCAGGACCCTGAAGGGTCTGGGAGTCTTAGTGCTATCACCGTGGACAGAAAGCTCCACCTAGTCCTGTCCTTTTCTCCTCTAGTTCTGGCAGGGAGCGAGGCTCCTGGCATGCTGGGTGCCCATCTGTTTCAGGCTTAGCCTCTGGGTACCAAGTAGTCAAATAACTGAGGTAAGACCACTTGGAATAACCACAGAGACAGCCCCACCCTCCAAAGGGGGTTTGTTCCCATTAAATAATTGGAATCCCGGCTTCATTTCTGCCAGAGAGGGCGTCCAGGTTCCCACTAGAAAGAGGCTGCTGATGCCCATTCCTTTCCTTTGCCCTTAAGGGAAAAAAAAAAAAGCCACATGGCCCTGAGATCTCCTCGTGTCCTAGAGGAGGCCAGATAAGCCAGCCTCCATCCAAAGGTGTGCACAGAACCGACAGCTGTCCTTGCTCTGGGCTCTCCAAGGTCCTGCCTGGGGTCAGACACTCAGGGCAGGAAGGAACCTGAGATATCATTGTGCACAGCCTGCTCCTTAAAATAAAAATAAAATAATAATAGCATTCATGCAGTGCTTTGAGGCTTGCAAAGCACTTTATAAAAATCTCATTTTATCCTCATAACCACCTTGGGAAGTAGGTGCTATTATTGGCCTCACTATACAGATGAGGAAACTGAGGCAGAGAGATATTTAAGTGACATGCCCCAGATCACACAGCTAGTAAGTGTATGAAGATAGATTTGAACTCAGGTCTTCCCAATTCCAGGCTGCTCAGTGTGTCCACTGCACTATCCACTATATGCCAGCAGTGTGCTAAGCACTTACCCAGATGGGTGGGGTGGGGTGTGGAGATTAAAAACAAAAAAAAACAAAACCAGTCCCTGACCTTGAGGAGCCGAAAGCCTAATGAAGCAGACCACAGGTAAACAGCTATGTACAGACACGATGTATACAGGATAAACTGGAGATGAACCCCAAGACAAAGCATGAGAGAAGGCCCTGGCGTTGATGGGGACCAGGCCAGGCTTCTTGTAGAAGGTAGGGTTTTAGATGGGACCTAAATGAAGCCAGGAAAACTAGGAGGGACAGCATTCCAGGCACGGGGGATGGCCAGTGCAAATGCCTAGCGTAGGGAAATGGGAGTGGCCCGTGCAAGGAACAGGCAGGAGTCCAGCAGCCCTGGCTCATAGAATATTGGGGGGGGGGTACGGGTAGTAGGGAGGCTGGAAAAGCAGGAAGGGGTCAGGTTAGGGAGGGCTTTGAAAGCCACAGAGGATGTTATATTTCATACTGGAGGAAACAGGACGCCAGTGAAGTGTACCGAGCAGTGTGGAGGTTACATGGTCGGACTGTGCCATCAGAAGGCTAGCCCCCAGGGGGAGGCGCCCCCTGGCCACAGAGGGACAGGAAACAGCTTCGAATCAGCAACAGCCAAACAAGATGAGAAAGAAAGCACAGCCTAGTTCAAGAAGGAGACGCTGAGTTCGAGTCCTCCCCTGCGGCCCCTCTGGCCTTCCTCTTACTTCTTCCCTCTGAGGTGGGCGGACCAGATGAGCAGGTCCTTTCCTGCCCTGACTCAGAAGCCCAGTCTCAAGGCCGGGCCGTTAAAGGCAGGATGCCCCTAGGTGCCGCAGGCCTCATTTTTGTTTAAAGCAGACAAGACATTTTCTGAAGGCTGGCCGCCGCTTCCCCCCACAGTCCCCCAGCAGAGAAAGCACGGCGCGCACCTGGGGTGGGAGGTTGAGGTTGGGCCGGAGGCCGCAGTGCGCCTGGAATGCGGACGGGGATTGTTGGGCCTTGCTTTTTCCGAAGATCCCCCGTTTGGCTGCGGGAGGAGATGGCTCAGTCTCAGCGGACTCCGCAGACCTCTGACGACGGGTTGGCAAAAAGAAGCCCCATGACCAGCTCTGCGATGCTCACCATTCTCCCAGCCCTTCAGGAGAAAGTGACGCGGCGGTGGCAGCGCTGGGCAGTCACAAGGCAGCCGAGGAGCCCCTTGAGAGCCACGACTCCTGTGCTTGCACTCCTCCGCCAGGCTGCCAGAGCCTGCCTCTACCCCAAGGGAGCGTTGGGGGGCTGGGTGGCCAGCCCGCAGGCCATTGGTGGAGTCCCGGTCCACGCCCGCAACTCTTGAGAGGCGAGCCTAGCAGCCGCTCCCAGGGGCTTGGCTCAACGCTGATCTCGGGTTGGCCGACCGGCCAGAGGCTCAACCCACCCCACCCAGACACCGGGTGAGTATTGTGGTCCTGTCTGAGCGCCTCCTGACCCTCTGCCCGGTCAGCTGGGGAGGGGCTTTGGACAAGGTCCACGCCAGCGACTCCTGCCTCCTCCCTTCCCTCCCCCGGCCACCCGTGACTCCCGCCCCTCCGGGAAGCCCTCCCTCACGAGTCCCCAGATGCCTGAAGGCAGCGGCCGGACGGGGTGAGGAGCTCCCTTGAGGGTCTTTCCTGGGCCTCGCAATGAATCCCCCCTCCCGCCCCCGCATCCAAGGACCGTCGTCTCGGTGTCCGCGCCCCAGAGGCCTGGGCCACAGAGAGGGGCAGCGCACGGGCTGAGCGCCAGACTCCCCTTCCCGGGCACAGGAGAGGGGAGGGGATGGAGGGGATGGTAGGCTCTCCACAGCATACTCGGGCGGAGCAGAGAGCCTGACGCAGGCGGAGGAAGGCCATTGCGTAGGACGAGAGCTCCTCCCTCCTTAACCTCCTCTCAGAGCGAAGCAGCGACACCCTCTTTGCAGGGTAGGGAGGGCGGCCGAGGCGGCCGAGGACGCCCTCCCGCTCTGCAGCATCCCTAGCAGATACCAAAGAGGCCTGGTCCCCCACGCCGGCTGCGGGCCTTAACCATCTCGGAGTACCCGGCGGCTCAGGGGGCCAAGGCGGGGGCGACAGACCCGGCCGGAAGGACGGGGAGACTGGCTGCCGCTTCCTCCGGCGGCCAGCTCGCCTGCCCACGCGCCTCCCTCTCTTCCCCTACCTTCTCCCCTCCAGGCTCCCCGAGGGCTTTACCTGTGGGATGCATGCTGAGCCCCGGGCTCAGCGCAGCCTTGGCTCCAAGGAGCGCTTAGAGATCTGCGTTCCGTAAAAGGATGAATGAGGGGGGCGGGACGATTCAGGGAAGGGGGTGGGGTTGTCGCCTTTCTTCTCACCTAGGAAGTGAGCTCATTCCTCCTCCGGTCGGCTCCCCTCCAGCCCTGGCTCTCTGGCTGCATCCAGGTGTGCCCCGCCGGGCCGCCCCCTGCCAAGGAGCGCCGAGGAGAGGCCGGGGAATGGAGACGAGCTGAAGGTGCTCCCTGGTGACCCGAGAAGGGCAGAGCAGGAGGCCGCCCTCGGGCTCCGACCTGGCCAGAGGCGGCCAGCTCCAAATGGGAGGGGAGTGGAGAGACCCCACCCCTTCCAGGGTCTCTGCTGCTTTTCCTGCGGATGCTGGCATCTGGCCCCCGGCCCCTGTGCACGGCTTTGCCCTCCAGCCGCAGCCTACTGATAGCTTGGGTCCAAGCTCAAGGCCCCGCCTATGGGGGTTTCATTGTCCACCCTCGCCTTGTCCGTCCTCCTGCCTCTGCTCCCCTCCTCAGTCCTGGGCCCCCGGAGTCTGAAGGACTGAAGGCGCCTGCCCTCCCCTCCTCTCCTTTTGAAAGGTTTCCTCGGGTTTCTGCCTCTGCTCAGCCCTCGCTGGTTCCCCGCCCCCGCCTCCCACGCGTTGAGGTCTCAGCAGAGGAATGTAAGCACCTTGAGGACAGAGGCTCTTTGGGGAGGCCTCACAGTCCCTGACCTAAAGGTGAGAGTGAGTAGAAGAGATTCCCAACTCAGAGCCCCAGCGCCGGCCGGGGGTGGGGCGTGGTGGGGGCTCCGCTGTCCAGCAGCTTCTCGGCCTGAAAGTGGGAGGGTGAGGCCGCCTCTCCCCCCCCCCCCCGCCCCAGCCTCTCGTGCGGACTGCCGGTCTACTGAGGCCAGAGCTCCTGAAGAGCAGAGCAAAGAGCCCTCGCCTCTGCACCTCCAGGTCCCCTGCTGCCGACAGCCCCCTCTTGGGCCCTTCTCGGCGCTCCGCTCCTGCCACTCCCTCGCGTCTTGTCTTGGCTTCCAGCGCTTCCTCTTCCTACGCCCCTCTCTTCCTCTTGGCTCCAAAAGCCACCTCCCCTCGGCACAGCACAGCTGTAAGTAATACTCTGTCCTGCAGCCTGAGGAGGGCCGATGTCCTTTGCCAGCGTCTCCTACTTCTGCCCCGTAGCTGATATGTGAACAAAAACTGGCTAGGTAAATGACAAAGGAAGACGGTCCTGTATTCATCCCACAGTGCTCGGAGGCCAGGCCTGGAATCTTCCTGAGTTCAAATCTGGAGTCAGACACTTACTAGCTGTGTGACCCTGGACAAGTCCCTTCACCCTGTTTGTCTCAGTTTCCTCATCTGTAAAATGAAACGGAGAAGGAAATGACAAAACCCCAAAAGGGGTCACAAGAGTCATTAGTAATTATGGGGACCAAGGGTGGGCTTCCTGGAAGAGGTGGCCCCTGAGCTGGGAGTGGTATGTGCAAACACCGAGAGATGGGAGAGCCCCTGACCTCGAATCCAGCCTTCTTTCCATAGTAGCATTCTCCTCGTCAGCAGATCAGAGGAGAGCCAAGGTGAGTGAGGATTTTTGGTTTGGGTGCTTGGGAGAACTCAGGGCATGGTGACAAAGCGCAAGACTGTTTAAAGGGAGAAGTCTTGGTTAACCGCCCAGCTTTGCTGCCCCTGGAGGGCATTCTGCAGGATCTCACATCCATCCCAGCCCCAGGCACAGGATTGTCTCTGTCTTAAGAGGCTCTGGTTTGTGGCCTCGGGGCCTGTCCCTCATGCATCCCAGGGACCCCAGGGAGCCCTCTTATCTCTGCCAGGACACTTGGAAGCAAGTAGGGTCTGGTAGCAGAGTCAGGCAGAGTTCAGCAGGGTATCTGCTGCTCCTTTTCCATTTCTCAATGGTTGGGTCTGTGCTCACCGGTAAGTGAGCGGGCCTGATCCCAGGGGATGCCTTGAACGAAGCCAAAGGGTCTGTTTCTGCTTGGGATATGCAGCTTGCTTTGCTGCCCCATTGTCTGCACCTGGTCAGGTGTGAAAGGACATTCTGAGGCCAGATTCGAACTCAGGCCTTCTTGGCTCCAGGCAGGTCCAGCATAGTGTCCATTTCACCACCAGCTGCCTTCTTCTAGTGAGCTGGGGATGCAACATGGATCCTCATGAGTATGAATGAAGGAGCTTGAGAAAGCAGATGACCAGGCTCCTCGGTGGCCTTTCATGGTGAACCTTGAAGGGAGGGATGGGTTCCAAGAAGCATGGGTGAAGAGGAAGCACCTTTCAGGCTGGGGCCATGGAATCCTAATAGAGCTGTTTTAACTTCCTTATGGGCCCCACTGAACAGCAGGCATGCCCACACCAAAGGCCCCCAGACTCAATATAGACGATGCCCCTACCTAGCCACTGCCCCTCTCCCCAACTCAATGCCTTAACTTCCTCATATATGCCTCACTGCTCACTAGAACAGTGGGTGTGTCCATGAACTCATATTTCTCACAGAACAGCAGGTGTGTCCGTGTGCTGGGATCCCCGCCACTGCCTCTAGCTAGCCACTGCCCCCAGACAGGTGTGTCCATGCGCTCAACTACAACCACGTCCATCTAGTCTCAGACAGGACCACAATAGCCAGCCAATCAGCAAGCAGCGCCACCAGGATGCTGGAGCAGGATGTGGCCGCCAAAACTGCAGAAGGGACTTTCCCTAAGTGGGCACCTGCTCCGTAATAGCAAAAGCTGTCCTTTAGGTGAACTTATGACGTAGAGAGGCTTCTTGTAATATCATTAGCATATATACAAGCCCCCCGATGGGGTTTTTTCTGTATGTATTGTTCATGATCACACACGCGGTTCCACTGAGGTTGGGACCCCTCCCCATTACCTAATCCCTTAACAAACCCCTCCTGCCTTTTAAATAGTCATAATTTCTGTTATGTAATTGCACCTTTATCCTAAAAAAATCCACCTTACTTTCACTGAAGCTGCTGGCTGGCTTCTGAGGGCCGTCAATCCTCAATAAATGCCACTACCTGGATTCGACGGTTCAGCCACAGCACATCATGAGACCTCAATGTGGGGGACGGACAGCCCAGGTAAAGGTGAGAAGGGAAGCAAGCGAATACTGAGCGTGGGGCACGTTGGACTGGGTCATGAGTAGATCCAGGGACTGGCTTTCATTTCGAGGTCGTGAGATGGATTCGTTCACAAACACCCGAATTTATATGCTCCATGCTTCAAACGTGAGCTGCTCTGTGTTGATTCCCTTGGAGTTACCACGGCTCAGAAAGGTTTGGGAATTTGGGAAAGAGAGCAGGCAGGAGACTTGGTCAAAGTCATACAGCCAGTTGAGATGGGGCTGGGGCCACCCAAAAGGCCTGAGAAACAAAGCCCTTGGCTGTTCAGAACCCACACCCAGGGAGGAGTGAGCCCAGAAGGCCCCAAGCTGGTGTGGCTTCTGAGGCCATTTTCCCTTCTTTTAGGGACTCACCAGATCCATGGAAGGTCACCCTACTTCCTGGCTAATGGCAGCTATGGGCTTCCATGGAGCTACAACATTCCCATCAGTCTCCTACAAAGAAAGGCAATGCCATCTGCCAAGGACTTAGAGCAAGAAGAGAGCTTTGTAGGCCTTTCCCTCCTTTTTATGGATGAGAGGCTGTGTCCCTGAATGGTAGCCCATGAGGACCCAGGCGTCCTTAACCCCAGCCCGAGGCACTCTTCCTAAACCCTCAGGCGGCCACACCCCAGCACAAATGCCAGCCCTTAGCACGTTCTGAAAGTACAGTCCAGCCTGTTGGCTCCCCCAGATCACAGGCGGGACCTCAAAGGTCACCAAAGCCAAGCCGAGCCTCTTACAAAGGAGGATGCTGCCAAGGTGGACGGTGGTCGGTAAGGGAGGCAGGTGCTCTGGGCCTTCCCAAGCCAGCCTCCAGCTGGGGAGCTCCGCCCAGGGCTTGTGCAAAGCATCCCTCTGGGCTCTCAGAGGTTCCTCCGACCAGCACCAGCCAGGCCACTGCTCCCCGATGGAGAGGCTCCAGGGACCCAGCAGGAACTTCATAAATGGTTCTTGATTCTGACTCTGACCATGCAGTGTTAGCATGACTGACTGCCCTCTCTGTATCTGTTTATCTCTACCATCCATTTGTCTCTGTACCCATCTATCTCTATCTGTCTGTCTGTGGGTCTCTGTCTCTCTGCGTCTTCCCCTTTTCTTTCCTTCTGTCTCAGTCTCTTTTCTTGCCTCTGTCTCTGCCTCTGCCTCTCTCTCAGTCTGTATTTCTAGCTAGATGGATACAGAGATAAATGGATGATCAATGGAGAAAGAAATGGATAGATGGAGAGATGGACAGATGATAGAGTCTGGTGGATTGACAGACAGAGAGACAGATGGGCAGAGAGGGAGAGCTCACCTATTAAGCACTTACTAAATGCCAGGCACTGGGAATGTGGGATACAAACAGAGGTGAAAAGAAAACTGTCCCTGCTCTCAAGGGACTCACACTCTTTTAATCACATTTTATTTTTCTCAATTACACGTAAAAACAATGGTTCCAAATTGCTCTCCAGAATGGTTGGACCAGTTCACAACTCCAGCAACAATGCAAGAGTGAAGGAGCTAACATTCTAATGAAGGAAGACCACAGATAAAAGGGAGCTAGGTGGGGGTGTGGAGGGGAGTGGAGGAGTGGTCAGAGAAGCGCTCACAGAGGCCTCCAGACTGGCGTCAGACCAGGAGCTGTGCTGCCCCTCGGGGTGGCTCTGCCCCTTCACTGTCACGTAGAGTCTTAGAGAGTGGCCTAGAATAAGAGATGGGGCCATATCCAGGGTCCAGTCTGTGGAAGAGGCAGCATTTGAACCCAGATCCTGCTGGCCTCAAGGTCAGCTGTCCCTCCTGTGTGGCGTAAGGCCTCTCTGGCAGGGGGAAGGGCAGAGTGGGTTTGAAAGGCAGGGAGGAAAGCAAGCTGGTTGGGGCCCATGTTGTGTAGGGGAACAGTGGAAGACAAGAAGATACAAGTTTGCTCGATGGGCAGCTAGGTGGCCCAGAGTCAGGAAGACCTGAGTTCAAATCCATCCTCAGACACTTCCTAGCTGTGTGACCCTGGGTAAGTCCCTTAACCTCCATTCGCCTCAGTTTCCTCATCTGTAAAATGGGGATAAGAACAGCACCTAGCTCCCAGGGTGGAATAAGAGCATGGTTGTAAAGTGATTGACACAGTGTTGGTGCACAGTGGGCGCTTTATAAATGTTGGCTGCTCTTCCTGCTGTATGTACCATGCGTGCCAGGTGCGGGGGACACAAAGTCAAAAACGAAGCCCATCCCTGCATACTCCTGGAAGATCCTGCCCTACAGACCCGCCCCGCAGGGTAACCAGGAGGGAGAGCGTGCGCACAGTAGGATGGGGGGAGGCGCGGCTCGAAGCAGGAAGCGCTCAGCCGAAGGACAAAGATGCCGAGAAGGCTGAGGGGCGGCCTGGGTAAAGAGCCAGGGGCCGAGTCTGGCTGCAGTCTGGCCGGAACGCGGAGGGCAGAGGCACACGCGGCCAGATCCCGGAGGGCCGCCGATGCCAGGCTCTGAGGGGTCTGCATTTCCTCTTACAGACAGGAGGGAGCCCTGAAGCTTGGGGCAGGAGCAAGCCGCGTCAGGCCCGAGCTAGCTTTTGTAGCTGTAAGAGGGAGGGGTCCGCAGTGGGCAAGGCCTGGAGGGGCACAGAGAGGGAGGAAGGATCCCGGAGATGTCACAGCGGCAGGATGAATGAGACCGGCAGCGGATGGGGACGGGCCATGGGAGCCACGGAGGGCTTGTATCTGAGGAAAGTTCCGGGGGGTGGGGGTGGGGAGGCTGGAAGTGGGAGGGAGAGAGCACGTGAGAGTGGGCTGAGCTCCAGAGGCCTGGGGCTGTCCCCCAGGGGGATGCAGGGGAAGCCGGCTTCTGGCCCTCCCCACCTTTGGCTCTGCGGTGATCGTCTCCCGTCCAGGTGCTGGCTAGGTAAGGAGAGGCTTTGTGACTGGCTGCTGGGCTAGGGGCGCCACAGAGGATAGGGGGCCAGCCTGGAGTCAGGAAGATCTGTGTTCAAATTCAGCCTCGGACACTTCCTAGCCATGTGACCCTGGGCAAGTCACTTCACCCTGTTTGCCTCAGTTGCCTCATCTGTCAAAGGGGCAGGAGAAGGAAACGGCAAATGCTCCAGTATCTCTGCCAAGAAAACCCCAAGTGGGCTGAGGATGAGTCGGTCACTACTGAACAACAGCTGAGCTGGAACGGGGTGTCAATGAGCACTTATGAAGCGCTCTATAGAGAATACCTCATGTAATCCTCATAACAGCCTGGGAAGCAGGTGCTGTTGGCGGGGTGCTTGGACCCCTAGTTCTCCCTGGCCTCAGAAATACTGTCCCTGACAGTTTCTCCCCAGCCCAAGGACCCTGTGCCTAGCAGTGGGCCCCAGCAAGACCCTTATGTCTCTCCTTGGTGCAGTAACAAACAGCACCTGAAGGAATTCGTAGTTCGAGCTGGCTTTGCACTGGGCCATGAAGACATTCTTACCCACTGGACTATCTATCCTACTGCCCTACCGCATGATCTACATCCTGGATTCCTCCTTAACTGTGTTCTAGACCTAAGACATATGTGTACTCCCTACATCTATCTTGTCAAACAAGACACTGATTGGTAGCAGGCTGGACAATTCTCAGTTACTCTGAACTCTAGTTAACTTATAGCGGGCCTAAAACCACACCTCCATGTGGCCCCCCTTGTGGGCTTGTCCCAGTGAACTCTGGGTAAAACACCTGCACAGCAGGGAGAAGAAGTACATGTTCTTTTAAGAACTGACCACTCCTTGACCACTCCTTAACCACTCCCTAATCCCGCCCTGAATCCCCTAGTTAGCATATTTGGCACATATTTTCTTGTATTTTATCCTATGTAAACTTGGACTGGACCCCTTTAAGATCGCAGAATCCTTAAGAATCCTTGCCCACTGAAAAGCGTAACAACAGACTCTTTGCAACCTTGGACTTAAAGAGTGCTTGAGTCCAGACAACCCTGTCATGTACTTCAGTCTTTGAGGGGTCTCAACCTCTCAACCTTTCATACTGCAACACTATTACTATCCCCATTTTATAGATGAGGAAACTGAGGTAAACAGCAATTAAAGGACTTTCCTTACTCAGTTAGGTCACAGGGTTAGCGGGTATTTGAGGTGGGATTTGAACTCAGGTCTTCCAGGCTCTAGACCTGCACTCAATCCTTGCTGGCCCACTTACTTGTAATCAAGCAGCACCTCTGAAACGCCTACTGTGTACCAGACTGTGTACCAAGCCCTGGGAATACAGAGATTAAAGAAAGAGAACGCCCCCCCCCGAGCTCCTGATGGGGGGGCCCTACAGCCCTCCCTCAGAGAAGAGTGTGAGGCAGGACCCTGTGTGAAGGCAGCCAGGAGGCCAGCGGTCCTGGGCAGGAGGAGATGGGAGGATTTGATCTTGATCCCAGAGTTTATTGAATGGGGGGAGAGGGGGCAGCGCTGCATCGAGGCCTGCTGGTGACGAAGAGGATTCCCAGAGTGGCCAGGTAGCCCTGTCCAGCTGTCCAGGGCCTGGAGGGCTAGGGGGAGGGGGAGGGGCAAGGGCAGCCATAAGCTCCAGGTGGGCAACTTCAGCGCCTTCTGGGCACATCCGCCAGACATCAGGTGAACTTCTCAAACAAGCCCCGGCCCAAATGCAACTCTCTGTCTTCCCCTCCTCCAGTGGCTGCCCCTCCTCCAGACTTGCAGGTTCCTCTTCCTCCTGGTCACCCAGCTTCACTCCCCATTCCCTCCATCCCCAAAGTCAAGTTCCCAAGTCTCCCGGTCCACAGCATCTCCCTTTCCCTTTCCTTCCCCCCACAGCTGTGGCCTCATTCAGGCCCTCACCTCCTCGCACCTGGACATCTCCACAGCTTCCTCTTCAGCCTCCCCTGCCTCCCTCCCTGACCCTGAGGGACCAAAATCTTTTCCCTAAGGGACAGGTCTGACCCCCCGTGGGGCTCAGCCTAGCATAGAAGGCCGCCACAGCCGGGCTCCTGCTCCCTTTCTAGTCATATTCCACATGAACCCTGTTCCAGGCAAACTAGACCCTTATTCCCCAAACTCCCACTCACCGTTCCATCTCCCACCTTTGTATGTGCACACGCTGTGCCCCCCACCGGGAATGCCTTCTCCTCCGCTCTAGCTTTCAGAATCCTTGTGTCCACAGCATCTTAAAGGAACTTGAAGAAGGCCCCCAGCACACTGGCTAGAATCACTGGCCGAGCAGAGGGAGGGCAAGACAGGGACAAGAAGTGGAGAGGATGGGAAGGGGTGAGGGCTAGAGGTCATGCACAGGTGCAGGGACCACTAAACAGGGGAAAGAGAGAGCAAATGGTGAGAGGGGGAGAGAGGGAGGGAGAGAGACAGAGAGGGAGAGAAAGAGGCAGAGAGGAGGGAGGGAGAGAGAGACAGACAGACAGAGGAAGAGGGAGAGGGAGACAGAGAGAAAGAGACAGAGGGAGACAGAGAAAGAGACAGACAGAGGGAGACAGAGAGAAAGAGACAGAAACAGAGAGAGGAGAGAGAGAGGAGGGAGGGGAGAGAGAGGGACAGACAGACAGAGGATGAGGGAGAGGGAGACAGTGAGCCAGAGAAGATCTATGAAGTGTCCGTTATGTGTGCCAGGCCTGTGCTAAGTTCTGCAGATACAAGTACAAGCCAAACCCAACCAGTGGCTGCCCTCAAGGAGCTTGCATCTAAGTGTGCAGGTGTGGGCCCACCGCAGAGCATGCTGGGAGGAGCCAAGCTCACCTGTCAGAGCCCAGGGAGGTTTCTGAACTGGGTCCAGTCACTGCTTGGGAAGAGGGGACTACGTAGAGCAGGCATGGCCCGAAGCTGGCGGGGAAGTAGAACCCAGGACACTCTGGAGGGGCAAGCACATGGAGGCACAGCCTACCCTGGGGAAGGATAGGGAGGGCATCAGGCCTGGGGAGGGAGCAGGCAGCCCGGGCCCTGTGCTCAGTAGATCGGGGTTTCTTCAGGGCAGGCCCCTGCAGAAGTGAGACCTTGGCTTCTAGGGACAATTTGGAGGCACGTGGACGGGAAGAAAGGAACCCCAGAGATTCTGGAGGACCTGAGGCAAACTTCCTCCACGTTGGCCTTTGTAGGCTCATGGGACCCCCCAGCACGGGCCAACTAGTCCAAACCCCCAATTTTACCAATGAGGGGCTTTGTGTAATGAGGGGGTTCTCCCAGATGGCCTGTGGAGTCCCAACTCTAGGCCTCGGGTTCCAAGATGCCCTTGAGACATCCAAGGGCTGGCTGGTTCCTGGTCATGGTCCCCTGGGAGGGGACCCAGTCCAAGGAGAGCTGAGCAAAGGGACCGTTGGCAAGCTCAGGGGGCAGCCTGGTGCAGCAGAGCAGGAGACAGGCTTCCTGGCGGCCTCAGGCCAGCTTCTTTTCCATCTGTGCCTGAGCTTTCTAAGCCGGTCTGTGACCCTTCCCACAGTCCCCTCCCTGGCCTGCTTTGCCCACGGCTCAGCCAGGACCGTGAACTGCAAGAGCTCTGGAGTGTGGAAAGGGCCTTATTACCATTGGTTGACTAGCAGATGGAGACGTTTAAAAGTAGGGGGAGAAGGCTGCAGAGGGATAGCCTTGAAAGGCTCATGGAAGGGAGGAAGGGAGGAAGGAGAGAGGGAGGGAGGGAGGAAGGAAGGGAGGGAGGGAAAGAGGGAGGAAAGGAAGGAGGGAGGAAGGAAGGATAAAAGGAGGGGGAAGAAAGGGAGGGAGAAGGGAGGGAGGCAAAAAGGGAGGGAGAAGGCAGGGAGGGGAAAAGGGAGGAAGGGAAAAAAGGAGGGGGGAAGAAAAGGAGGGAGAAGGGTGGGAGGGAAGGATTGAAGGAGGTGGACTGACAGCCCTGGGGTGCTCTTAGAAGGAAGAGAGCCTGGGGTTTAGGCCATGACCACGGGAGGCCTGGAGGTGGAGGAGGAGTCCAAGAGCCTGTCCCTCACCCTCTGCGCTTGCTCATACAAGGTCATCCGGCTACTTAAAAGCAGAGCTGGGTGAGGCCCCAGGTCTCCTGCCTCCCAGAGTCCCGCTTTCTCATCCCCCTGTGATATCAGCCCTGGGCTGCTCTGGCTGAAGGAGAAAGCCTCCAGCAGTAGGATTTCAGGAGGAAATCCAGAGGCACATTGGCCCTGAGTTGGGGGAAGCCTAGGAGAGGCGTGTGCCTCCTGTGGGAAGGAGGAAAGCTCCCGACAGATTAAACTGAGTGGGGCTGAGAACCAGTGCTTTGAGGGTCCTCCCACACTCTCCCTCCCAGTTCAGCTGGATCCGTGGCATAAAGAGGTGCCTCTTACTCTAATTAGAAGCCCCCCCCCCACACACACACACATAGTGGGCAAGGCAGGCCTGGAGCTGACATGGTCTGGAAATCCTTCAGCCCAAAGAAGCCCACAGATCCGGGTGCATAGGACACTGGGTTTCCTTACAGGCTAAGGTTTGACCTCAATAAGGGGATGCACTGGCATCCTAGGGGACCCTAGAGGTCAAGAGGCCCAATCCATTGACAGAGAGAGAAACTGTGTCCTGAGAGACTGAGACTTTGCCCAAGGTCACACAAGTGTGGAGGCATGAGGTGAGCCCAGGTTCTGTCCCTTGTGCCCCATGACCTTCTAGGGACACCATCCCCTCAAGGAAAACGACTTGGCCAAGGTCACATAGCTAGTAGGTGAGAGCTCCCATGGAAGAGCCTGGACTTCTACTAGAATCATGTGTCCTGAAGAAAGGATGTGGCCAAGAGAAGACAAAGCCTTGGGCAAGAAGCCTCTTCTCCCAAGATGGGAAAGAGCTGAGAGCCCTTCAGGACTTCCAGGCTCCATCCTCCCTCCACTGAAGCTGATTGCAGCCCCTTTGGAATTTAGTTGACGGTCATCCCCCTGTAGCTGTCCTGGCAGGGCTCTTGGTCCAGCCCCTTGCAAGGCCTGTGGTCAAGGCCTCCAGGGTCAGATGGTCCCCCAAAGACTTCTGACCAAGAAGTCTCAGAGTTGCTGCTGGCCCCTTCAGCCTCTAATGCCTTCGTCCCCCTTGCCCCAGGCTTCTGACACTGCCCATGATGCGCCTGCCTGTTGTGACAGTCCCACGTTGATGGGAAGTCTCGGGGTTAGGTCACTAAGCACACACCAGACTTCACCTTCCCAGCAGAGGTCCCCACTCACTGGGCTGAGGGCTGGGAGGATCAAGCCCTCCACCTGCACTGTCTAACCTTAAGGATTTCCCTGGCAGCTATAGGCTGTCGCCTTTCCATTTCACTTACCGTGGTTCAGATGTCAACATACCCAGCCATCCCTATCTCAATAACCTCAATGGCCTGGCCCAGGAAGTACCTGGAACCCAAGGGAGATCCCCAAGACTGTGACCTCACAATGACCCAGGGGACGTCTCCAGAGGCAGCCCTCGAAAGAAGAGGTTGCCTTTCTCGCAGGGATCAGCCCTCGAGGCTGGTCTTCACAGACAAGGTGCGTCCTCCACTCTGGGACCAAATGTCCTGAGAGAAGCTCCCATGCCCCAGTGCAGGGAAGATCCTCCCCACGGAACCTCCACACCCCCTTCCGTCAGACGGCCTCCCAGTGTCCTTCAGAAAGGAGAGCTACATTGTGGAGGTGGGGATGCCTCTCCTCCCCTCTCGCTTCAGGGGCCGGTAGGGGCCAGGGCCAGACCCAGGGCCTGGCATGGGCTGAGGCTGATGCCAGACCGAGGGACCACACTTTTTTCCTGTTCTAGACAATGGTGCGTGCCCTAGGGAATGGGTTATGTTGGATCTGTGGCAGCGTCTCCTAGCAGAGCCCAGGAAACCGCAGCTCAGGTAGAACGGCTTTCTGTGGGCAGCGATGGGGGGAGGGGTCATCCAGGCCAGACAGCGGTGGGCAGCAGGGCCTGACTCTGGAGCCGGCGGGTGCGGGCTCTTCTCTGCCCATGATCTCTTGCTGAGTGTTCTGAGGGCGTCCCGTGTTCTCCCAGGGGCTCAGCGCCCTCCTCTGTAAAATAAGGGCCTGGCTTCCATGGCCTACAGGTCCCTTCCAGCTGTAGAGACGGCAGGACTGTCCTTCAGTTTCAGACATAGCATGGGACACTCAGATTCCTGTTGAGTGGTCTCACTTGGTCCTAGCCTTCTGCCGCCAGGCTTCCAGGAGAGAAAACGGGATCCTTCTGTCTCCACCAATGGTTCCCTGTACCTCTAGAAAGGGGTCATGGAAGTAAGCCTTCTTAGGAACGTATGGCCTTATGTTAGTGGTCAGGCCTAGGTACCCGGGTATCGATGAGTATCCAGAGGGCAGCCAGAATGGGGAGGGCAATGGCATCTTGAGTCTGGAGAACAGAAGGCCCAGGGAAACTTTTTTGTTTGTTTGTTTTTGTTTTTAAATTTTATTAATTTATTTTTATTTATCAACAATCACTTCCATATGCTTTTGAGTTGAAAATTTTTCTCCCCCTTCCTCCCCCCCACCCTCCCCAAGACGGCGCACAATCTGATATAGGCTTTACATTTACATACCCATCAAACATATTTTCACATTAGTGAAGTTCTAAGTAAAAATTAAAACCAATACGAGAAACCATCAGAAAGAGGAAACAAAACTCAACAGAAGGTAAAAATAAGTGATAGCGATTCAACTTCCATAGTTCTTTCTTTGGATGTGGACACCATTTTCCATCCCGAGGCCTCTAGAGATGTCTTAGATCCTCGTAATGCTGAGAAGGGTTCAGTTTAACAATCTTAGTCATTGCATAACGTGGCTGTTATTATGTACAAAGTCCTCTTGGTTCTGCTCACTTCACTCAGCATCAGACCATATATAAGTCTTTCCAGGTTTTTCTGAAGTCAGCCTGCTCATCATTTCTTATAGCACAATAGTATTCCATTACATTCAAATACCACAACTTTGCTCAGCCATTCCCCAATTGATGGGCATCCTCTCAATTTCCAATTCTTTGCCACCACAAAAAGAGCTGCTCTGAATATTTTTGTACATGTGGGTCCTTTTCCCATTTGTTTGATCTCCTTGGGATATAGCCCTAGAAGTGCTATTGCTGGATCAAAGGGTATGCACAGTTTTGTAGCCCTTTGGGCATAGTTCCAAATTGTTGTCCAAAATGGTTGGATCAGTTCACAACTCCACCAACAATGTATTAGTGTTCCAATTTTCCCACATCCTCTCCAACATTTATCATTTTCCTGTTTTGTCATGTTGCCCAGTCTGATAGGTGTGATGTGGTACCTCAGAGTTGTTTTGATTTGCGTTTCTCTAATCAATAACGATTTAGAGCATTTTTTCATATGACTATAGATGGCTTTAATTTCTTCATCTGAGAACTGTCTGTTCATATCCTTTGACCATCTTTCAATTGGGGAATGGCTTGTGTTCTTATAAATTTGTCTTAATTCTCTGTATTTTAGAAATGAGGCCTTTATCAGAGAGACTGGTTGTAAAAATTCTTTCCCAATTTTCTACCTTCCTTCTAATCTTCATTGCATTGCTTTTGTTTGTGCAAAAACTTTTCAATTTAATGTAATCAAAATTATCCATTTCACTTTTCATAATGTTCTCTATCTCCTGTTTGGTCATGAATTCTTCTGTTCTCCATAGATCTGATAGGTAAACTATTCCTTGTTCTCCCAGTTTACTTATGGTATCAGCCTTTATATCTAAGTCATGAACCCATTTTGACTTTATTTTGGTATATGGTGTGAGATTTGGGTCTATGCCTAGTTTCTGCCATACTCTTTTCCAGTTTTCCCAGCAGTTTTTTTCAAAGAGTGGGTTTTTACCTCAGAAAATGGAGTCTTTGGGTTTACCAAATAATAGATTACTATAGTCATTGACTACTGTGTCTTGCATATTTAACCTATTCCACCGATCCATCTCCCTACTTCTTAGCCAGTACCAAGCAGTTTTGATGATTGCTGCTTTATAATACAATTTAAGATCTGGAATTGCTAGGCCCCCTTCCCCTGCATTTCTTTTCATTAGCTCCTTTGATATTCTGGTCCTTTTGTTTTTCCAAATGAATCTTGTTATTATTTTTTCTAACTCTATAAAATAATTTTTTGGTAGTTTGATTGGTATGGCACTGAATAAGTAAATTAGCTTAGGTAGGATTGTCATTTTTATTATATTAGCTCGGCCTACCCATGAGCAACTGATGTTTTTCCAATTATTTAGATCTGATTTTATTTGTGTGAAAAGTGTTTTGTAATTGTGTTCATAGAGTTCCTGGGTTTGTTTCGGAGGTAGACTCCTAAATATTTTATAATGTCTACAGTAAGTTTAAATGGGATTTCTCTTTCTATCTCTTGCTGTTGGGCTTTGTTGGTAATATATAGAAATGCTGATGATTTATGTGGGTTTATTTTATAGCCTGCAACTTTGCTAAAGTTGTTTATTATTTCAAGTAGTTTTTTACTTGATTCTCTAGGATTCTCTAAGTATATCATCATGTCATCTGCAAAGAGTGATAGCTTTGTTTCTTCTTTGCCTATTCTAATGCCTTCAATTTCTTTTTCTTCTCTTATTGCTAAAGCTAAGGTTTCCAGTACAATATTGAATAACAGTGGTGATAATGGACATCCTTGTTTCACCCCGATCTTATTGGAAATGCTTCTAGCCTGTCCCCATTACATATAATGCTTGCTGAAGGTTTTAGATAATGCTATTTATTATTTTAAGGAAGACTCCATTTATACCTATGCTTTCTAGTGTTTTTAATAGGAATGGGTGTTGTATTTTATCAAAAGCTTTTTCTGCATCTATTGAGATGATCATGTGGTTTCTGTTGGTTTTGTGTTGATATGCTCAATGATGCTGTTGGTTTTCCTAATATTGAACCAACCCTGCATTCCTGGTATAAATCCTACCTGGTCATAGTGTATTATTCTTGTGATAAGTTGCTGCAATCTACTTGCTAGTATTTTGTTTAAAATTTTTGCATCTATATTCATTAGAGAAATTGGTCTATAATTTTCTTTCTCTATTTTGACTCTTCCTGGTTTAGGTATCAACACCATATTTGTATCATAAAAAGAATTTGGTAAGACTCCTTCTTCACCTATTTTCCCAAATAGTCTATATAGTATTGGAATTAATTGTTCTTTAAGTGTTTGATTAGAATTCGCATGTAAATCACTGGCCCTGGAGATTTTTTCCCAGGGAGTTCATCAATGGCTTGTTCAATTTCTTTTTCTGAGATGGGGTTATTTAAGTATTTTACTTCCTCTTTGGTTAATCTGGGCAATTTATATTTTTGTAAATATGTATCCATTTCACTAAGATTGTCAAATTTGTTGGCATATAGTTGGGCAAAATAATTCCTAATTATTGTTTTAATTTCCTCTTCCTTGGTGGTAGCTTCGCCCTTTTCATTCTTGATACTAGTAATTTGGTTTTCTTCTTTCTTTTTTTAAAATTAAATTAACCAAAGGCTTATCTATTTTATTGTTTTTTCATAAAACCAGCTCTTAGTTTTATTTATTAGTTCAATAGTTTTCTTAATTTCAATTTTATTAATTTTTCCTTTGGTTTTCAATATTTCTAATTTGGTGTTTAGTTGAGGATTTTTAATTTGTTCTTTTTCTAGTTTTTTTAGTTGTATGCCCAATTCATTAATCTCCTCTTTTTTATTTTATTTATGTAAGCATTTAGAGATATAAAACTTCCCCTAAGAACTGCTTTCCTGCATCCCATAGTTTTGGTATGTTGTCTCATTATTGTCATTCTCTTCAATGAAATTGATTGTTTCTACAATTTTTTGTTTGACCCAATCATTTTTTGGGATTAGGTTATTTAGTTTCCAATTATTTTTTAATCTATCTTTCCATGGCCGTTTATTACATATAATATATTTTATCATGCATGATCTGAAAAGGATGCATTTAATATTTCTGCCTTTCTGCATTGGATTGTGAGGTTTTTATGCCCTAGTACATGGTCAATTTTTGTGTATGTGCCATGTACTGCGAGAAAAAAGTATATTCCTTTCTATCCCCATTCAGTTTTCTCCAGAGGTCTATCATACCTAACTTTTCTAATGTTCTATTCACCTCCTTAAACTTCTTGTTTATTTTGTGGTTAGACTTATCTAGTGCTGACAGGGGGAGGTTCAGGTCCCCCACTAGTATAGTTTTGCTGTCTATTTCTTCCTGTAACTCCCTGAACTTGTCCTGTAAGAATTTGGATGCTATACCATTTGGTGCATATATATTTAGTAATGATATTACTTCATTGTCTATGGTGCCTTTTAGCAGAATGTAGTTTTCTTCCTTATCTCTTTTGATTAGATCTATTTTTGCTTTTGCTTTGTCTGAGATCAGAATTGCTACCCCTGCTTTTTTCCCTTCAGCTGACGCATAATATATTCTGCTCCAGCTTTTTACTCA